TCCTCTGAAGTCCAGGATCGTTGAGGCAGATAAACTAAATAAATCTGTATTTAGTTTATGAATAAAGTTGATAAATGGTCCAGTGATGCCATGCAATGTTCTGTGTATGATCTGAATGAAAACCTGTTAAAAAGCCTGTTGCGGCGCCACCTGAAGGTTATTTTGTGATCCTGCAGTCCCTCAGCAGCAGCAGACGGTCCTGGACTCTTTCAGGGAGACGGAGGAGAGGGAACCAATCAGCAGCCAGAAAACCATCCTGTCAACGTGGGAAGGTACGAGTCTTATAAACTATAAGCTGTTAATCCTGTTTCTATTTATTCAGGTCTTAATATTAAAACATCCATAAACTGAGCAGGATCTAATAACTCTGACTCTTTTTGCTCAGTCACCGTTTCTCCTCACTGGTCAAACTGGTTTCAGTTCTTTAAATTCTAGCAGGAAAACAAAGTTTATGAAACTGTTAAAGGGAAGTTGGTTGATCTGCTGGACATATTGACGTCTTGCAGAAGAATAATATTAACATCCTTCACATGCATTCAGCAGATACACATATCCATATGCACAAACGTTCATAGAGAATGTATGTATGATGACTGATGATGTCATTGTGTCCATACCTGCCTGCATCTGCCTGTTCATTTTAAAATGGTTGTTGTTCATTAGCACTGGGTCATTTTCTCTCCCTCTGGGTTTAAAACTAGACGTCTAGTTAAAGTATCAGTCAGTTTCAGTTTTGCTTCATCTTCCCTGTGTGATTCTCTGACTTGTTCTTTTTCTTGTATTTTTCCCACAGGTGTTAAAGAAAATCCAAATAAAATCAGAATAGTTCTGATCGGGAAGACCGGCAGTGGAAAGAGTTCATCAGGAAACACCATCCTGGGAAGAAAAGAGTTTGAAGCAAAACCGAGTCAAAGATCCGTCACAAAGGAATGTGTGAAGGAAAAGACTGAAATAGATGGACGGTCAGTTTCTGTGGTCGACACACCTGGACTGTTTGACAGCAGTTTGAGTCTGAAACAGATTCAGGATGAGCTGGTGGGTTGTGTCACTCTGGTGGCTCCAGGTCCGCATGTCTTCCTGCTGGTTGTTCAGATCGGCAGATTCACACCAGAGGAGAAGGAGACGGTAGAAATGATCAGGAAAACCTTTGGGAAGAATTCAGAGAAGTTCACCATCGTTCTTTTAACCGGAGGAGATTCACTGAAGAAAAATGGCCTCACTGCTGAAGATTATATTGAAAAGGAAAGTGAGGATTCCTTCAGGAAGCTGATCGCCGACTGTGGAGGGAGATACCATGTGTTCAATAATTCTGACGTAGAAAATCGATCTCAGGTCAGAGAGCTGATCAGAAAGATCGACGACATGGTGAAGGAAAATGGAGGAAGTTTCTACACCAACGAGATGCTGCAGGCGGCTGAAGCTGCTATACAGAAGGAAATGCAGGATATTGGAAACCAGAGAGAAGAAGAAATAAACAAGAAGGTCAAAGAGCTGGAGAGAAACCATGAAGCAGAAAAAGAGGCGATGAAAAGAAAACTGGAAGAAGAAATTAACCAGCAGAGAAAAATACTGCAGGAAATGGAGGAAGAGATCAGCAGAGAAACTGAGCTGAGAAAGAAAGAACCAAAATATATGGAGAAAAAAGAGAAGTGGAGGAAAATTCAGGAAGAAAAGGAAAAGATACTGTTGATGGAGGAGCTGGCAGTTTTAGAGGAAAAGATGGAATCAGGAGTAAAAGGTGAAGCTGCTGATGAATCACTGGAGACAAAAAGAAAAGAACTGGAGGAGAAATTAAGGCTGATGGAGGAGAAACGACAAGAAGAGAAAGAAAAGAGACGTGAGGAAGAAAAACAGAGACAGCAGAGGGAGGAGATGAGAATCAATAACCTCATAGAAAAATATGAAGAGGAGAAAGAAAAATATGGAACAATGGTTAAAGAGAAAATGTCAAAAGAACTGCAGGAAAATGAGATAAAACAACTGGAGGAGAAACACAAGAAAGAGATGGAAGAGATGAGAAAGAGACTGAAGGAAGGAGTCAGAAAACAGGCTGAGATCAAAGGGATGGTCAAAGTTTTCAACCCTTACATGCCAATAATTAAACACTTTGACAAGACATGCAAAATACAGTAATGATTCATCCTGATGAACAGTCAAACGTTGCCAGTATGTGATAAAACAGTAAAGACATGAAATCTCACTAGAACTCTGACAGTTGGTCTGATTAGTTTCTCACTATTTTAAAATAAATATTCATTATTTTCAGAAAACAATGCAGACATGAATCTTTATGACGGTGTGATCAGACGGTTCTGGGCGGGTTCACCAGATGTTCTGATTCTTCAAGCTGAGACGTTTCCTGCTGCCTTCAACCTGCTGATCAATAAAACCAACAGCATCAAGACCTTTGGTAAAACTTGAACTAAAAGTTGCATTGAAAATCTATTAATAGTGTGAAAACTCCTTCATGTCATGTCAGATTTATGATCATCCCTTCAATAAAATGCTACCAAAGCTTGTTGTTCCAGGTCTTTGTTAAAATCAATCAAATTTTATTTGTACAGCACATTTCAGCAGCAAGGCATTTCAAGGTACATCATTAAAATAAAAACAGCATGTGACATTGAATAAACAGAGAATCATTTAGTGCATCATGAATGACTGATACACTAAACAGTTTATTATTTCATAGCTGCTTATAACCGTCAAAATGTTAAAAATGTAAATGATTCAGTAACTAAATAAATTTTTCTTGTAGATAAAATAATATTGAAGCATTAAAAAGTTCAAAAACAATCACACATATTGCACTACTTATAGAAATGAAGCTTCTATTATGAGGTTAATTTTTCAAATGTTGAAAAGATGATGAAAAATGTTGATGTGAAATGAATATTTTTATTTTCTTAAAGTTGTTATGATGTGGATATTCTGACTGCAGGACGTTGAGCTAAGAGACTCCAGACAGAAAGATAACAGATTAGTTTATAATTCAGGCCTCAGAGAAAAACTGAAGGTGGCAAAACTCTGAACTATAATCTATAATCTATAATCAATGAGTCGGAGCAAAACATGAGACTGACACTTTCTCGGACTTATCTTAGGTTATTAACTATAACTTTTAAGTTTTTCTAATAAATCTTTCACACATATCAACATCCCCTTTAAGGAACTGTATTTATTCCTTTTATTTTGAAAAGGTGAGTTGAATTCATTCATTAATACCCAAATACAGCTGGTCCGTTTCTCATGGTACCTTTAGGAGCTGGAGACAAAATGGCAACAAATCCCTTTGTTAGCCTCAATCTAAAGACGGCGTTCCCTGGTGTGTCTCATCCTTTAACCTCAGCTGTTTCCCAACATGTTGTTTCCTTTAGCTTTACAGCTAAAAATGATGGGAAAAACACAGAATTATTCATTCTCTCCAAACCTTCAGGCAGTTTGAATATATGTGTAAATAATCGTATCATCACATCATTTTCTGTTCTCTTGCAGCATCTGATTTCAGGATTGTGATGTTGGGGAAAAGTGACAATAAAAAGACTAAACTTGGTAATTTGATCAGTGGAGAACAAGAATTTCATCCAAGCAAACACAGTGTGGCCTCCAGTGGAGAGTGGAGAGGAAAACCAGTAACAGTGGTGAAAACTCCTGACATGTTCAGTCTGACTGAGGAGAAAATCCAGAGAGAAATGAAGAACTGCATGAGACTCTGTTACCCTGGACCAAATGTTCTGCTGCTGCTGGTCAATCCTTCAAAATTTACAGAAGAAAACAGAGAAACTCTGAAGTTCATCCTGAGTTTGTTTGGTCAAGATGCCTTCAGACACTCAATGATCATTTTAACAAACAGCAGTGGAAGAAGTTCCTCTGTCAGTGACCTGATCAGGCTGGTTCAGGGAAGATGCTACATGAAATGACAGCACTTTGTTAATGAAGCAAATTGAGACGATCATAGATCAGAACAAAGCAACATATCTGACCTGCAGAGAGACCAGCAGATCCCAACATGACCAGCTGAAACCTCTGAACCTGGTTCTGTTTGGTCCCAGTGACCCACTGAAGGCGTCAGCAGCCAGAGCCATTCTAGGTCATGAGGATCTTCCTTCACAGCGTGTCAGAAAGCAGGGAGAGGCGTTTGGACGTCAGGTTTCTCTGGTGGAGCTGCCTGCCTTGGGTGGAAAAGCTCAGCAGGAAGTGATGGAGGAATCCTTCAGGTGTGTCTCCCTCTGTGACCCTGAGGGTGTCCACGCCTTCATCCTGGTCCTACCTGTGGGTCCCCTCACTGATGAAGACAAGGGAGAGTTACACACCATCCAGGACACATTCAGCTCCAGAGTCAATGACTTCACCATCATCCTCTTCACCACAGATCCTGAACATCCTGATGTTGGTAACTTTATAGAGAACAAGGACATCCAGGATCTCCTCCAGATCTGTGGAGGAAGATATTTAGTTCTGAACATCAGAGACAGGCGGCAGATCAGAGGACTGATGGAGACGGTGGAGAGAAACAGAGAGAAACTGGTCAGTTATACAACTAAAACATTATTATGGGGCCAAATGGAGGAAAAACTGCAGCTACAGAATAAACTGAAGCAGTTTGAGTCAAAGACAGCAGTTACAGGTAAATATGTTCATTTAAAACTCCTCACCCCCTGAAAATACAATGGAACAAAATCACACGGGCGTTTTGCTGCAGGCTAAGGGGTTAATTTAGACATGAAAGATTTTTTTCTTACCTACATGAGTTTAGTGAATTCTGTTTTTCTTTCATTTCTCCTGTTGAACGTTATTTTTAGGAACAAGATGATGCCCATCTTATCTATATTAACATATTTCTCAATTAGTGTTTTGTTTTACCATGCAGTTATTTTCACTTGTGTGAGACTCAAAGTTAAAAGCAGTAAAAAAAATCTCCATGTTTTCTGTTTCTCTGCCTGACATCAGGAAACTGCAGATCTCAAGATACATTGTGCTGTGAAACAATCAGTTTTCTGATTGTTAAAAATATAGTTTCCTTTTTTCTAAATAAGTTTAAAGAAATTATTTTTAATCTATAAAAAGCTTAGAAGAGGAATGATTGAACAAACTGGACGTTTTCATCATAGCTTGTTTCTTCAATCAGTTCACTGTGAGGATTATCTAATAATTTTCTATTATCTTTCTTTCTAACCCAGATCCTGAGCAGATCCCGATATCCGATTGTCTCCGGATCGTTCTGATCGGGAAAACCGGCGGTGGGAAGAGTTCATCAGGAAACACCATCCTGGGCAGGAAACAGTTTGAAGCTAAAGCGTCTCAGCAGTCGGTCACTAGAAACTGTCAGAAAGCTCAGACTGAGATCGGAGGTCGTTCTGTCGTTGTGGTCGACACTCCTGGTCTGTTTGACAACACGCTGACCCCCGACCAGGTGGATGAGGAGCTGCTGAAGTGCATGAGCCTGCTGGCCCCGGGGCCACACGTCTTCCTGCTGGTGATGCAGGTCGGCAGATTCACAGAGGAGGAGAAACAAACTTTAAAAAAAATGAAGAACATTTTTGGTAAAAACTCTGAAGATTTTACCCTCATCCTGTTCACTGGAGGAGACAAACTGAAGTATGAGGACAAAACGATAGAGGATTACCTTAGAGAGGGACGTGATGAATCCTTTATGAAGGTGATCAGCGACTGTGGAGGAAGATATCATGTTTTTAATAACTATGATAAACAGAACCGATCACAAACCAATGAACTGATCCAGAAGATCAATAAGATGGTGGAGAAGAACAAAGTGTTTAAAGACTAATTTAGTTCTTTTGGTCATTTTCTTTAATGCTTTTCTTTTTTATTTGCAGCCTATACCTTTTGTTTTATTTTAAACTGTTAAAGTGAGTTTATATAAATAATGATGTCTTTGTGGAATATGAGAATGTTCATATGTTAATGATGAAGATTAATGATGAATGTTTTCTGTTTCATAGATATCCTCAGAGTGAAACCAACTTCTGTGCATTTATTTATATGAATATCTTCAGTTTAGCCCTAAAGCCTGGAGACGCATCATGCTACCATCATGCTACCTGGTGATGTTATGTCATGTATTGGAGCTCTTTATGCTTTATTTTTATCAATTTGAATTTTGTTTGTTCTTTGTTTACTTTATGTAGCACTGTTTATTGCACTAAAATACTAGATGGCACATAATATCAGAAGACTAGATGCATCTGATGTCAGTAATCAATAATACAATACAAAACTACTTCCAACACCATTAAAGAAGAAAAAATAAAGTGAACACCACAAAACACAGAACTTACATAGAACCCCCCCAAAAAATACACAAAATATATATACACACAGAACTGCAGTAAATCTTCCATATGAATGTGCAAAAATGTTTTTAACTATGCAAACAAAAGTCCTAAATTTCCCCACCGGACGGCAGCACAGGGTCTGACTGACACACATTTGAAAAGTTCAGGGTTTGGTTGTCCAGATATTTGAGGTGAAAATGTCCAAGTGCAGTTTGTTTCCAATGGAGAAGAAATGAATAATGATTTGTGTGTCTGTATGGTGAGATGCAGGGGGAACCAGTACAGACCCTCAGCCTCCTACCAGACCAGTATGGAGTGAGTTTCAGGTTCTCCTGGTCCCAGTCAGAGGCTCGCCATCATTAAACCCTAAAACGGTCACCTGGCCAATCCCATTTATAGTTCATTGCATGACAAACTTCATGGCTCCAAGCTCACTGGGTGTTCAGACCTGCAGCTCCTTTGTCTCCAGCTCCCCCCCCAAAACCTGACTGGGAAAACTGGAGCAGACCTGAATCACAGATGCAGTGATTGGCTGAATGCATTATGACTGTCACTCTAACCGGGACCAAACGCAGCTTTTACCCTTATATTTATATTTTATTATTTAGTTTAGATTTTCCTTTCATTATTTTTATTTATTTTCTAAGCAAGAGGGAAAGAACTGTGGGCCTATGGTTTTATACCAGAGCAGGACAGGCACAAGGAAACAATAAGAAGTTTGATTTTTGTTATTTGCTTGCCATGCTGAGAAAAAATAAACCATAAAGAGAAACCTTCAAGTTTGAACATTAGACTTCCTTTGCCTGCATACGAAACTTCACCCCAGTGCAGCAGTAGGGACTCATTGATCGAACTTTTATTGGATGTTTGGATTGAAAATCAATCACCACTACACCACCAGACAGGTGGAAATGTGGCTTCAAATGATTAAAATGTCCTTTTGAAATAAAGTCCAGGAAGAAAGTAAAGTTTATTCACAAACTTTCACAAACCTAAAGTCACAAAACCCCGCACAACATAAATAATATTTAGGTTAAATGTATTAAAACAAGAATAAAAAGCACAGTTCAGTCACCAAATAAAAACCTGGTAGAAAAGAATTACAGGATTTAAGGAATAAACATTTAAATCCATTTACAACATTTAACCCCATTCAAACCCAGAAGTTATGAGGAAAAAGATAATGAAACATTTAAGAATCTGAACTTTGGACCAGCAGAAAAAACGTCTGAAAATGAAAGAATAGATTGGTTTTCACTCATGTTGTGAGGGAATCAATCAAACTTTGAATACTCTTTACTGCCCCCTGCTGCTTACATAATTGTGTTGAAGTCTGGGATAAACTGAAAGTGTGCAACACCGCCACCATCTGGTCTGGGGTGTGAACTGAAGCTGATGCCGTTCACTGACAGAAATCACATCATATCTGAAAATGGATTGGGTAAAGCTTCTGTGTTTTAGTTAAAAACTGAAAACAACAGATCATATTCGGAAAGATGAAAACTGAAGACACCTGCTACATTTAGTGTTAAGGACAAATATTGTTTTTGTTGTAGAACCGCTGTCACTAAGCTGTCAATGTTTGATATGTTGAGGCATGAATTTGTTAAACAACATTAAATCAAGTTCCACTATTAGGGTTATTATTTTTTTATTCTTTGCCAGTTTAACAAAAATAGTAGAGATTATTAAGGCCCCTAAAAAGGCACTTTATTAGCACAAATTAGCATATATGAGAACAATGAAAGTGACGATATTTACAAAGTGCTTACAAATATTATTGAAATTTATTTATTTTGAGATTTACTAAGGATTACTAAAATATAGACAGAACGTATTTTATCGTATCTTAATCTGTAGGAAACTTTATGACCTTGAGTTTGAACAATAAACGAGAGAAACGCCAATATCCTGTTACATGATGTACAGTTGGTTCAAAGACGCCCCCTAGTGGTTGGGTAGAGAAACGAGGAAGAGAGAATCTAAATACTTTCGATATCAACCAGCGGGACACCGAGCAGCTGATGGTGAGTAAAGTTTGTTAATTTAACACAGAAGGAGGTGAAAGTGTCAGGATTCAGTCAAAGGAGGTTTATAGAAAACTTAACTAGACGTGACTCTGCAGGAAAACCAAACTAGATCCACTAAAGTCACTAAATGACGTGTTGAACTTGAGCTGAGAGGAAATAAAACTCCGCCGCTGTCAAGTAAATGTGTTTCTGTTTGTTTTAATGTTGGAACAGATAAATTATTTCTACCGGATGTTTTAACCTATAAAACAGCAAATTTTCTGTTTTAATGTTATAAAGCGAATAAAAGAAGTAAATAAAAGAGACTCTGAACTCATCGGAAGAGAAAACATGTGACACACAAAGTTATATAACCGCTGATTTAAACTCAAACTACTAGTAGGAGTTCTATTTCTAATAATAACACTAATATTAATGTATTTGGATTCTCTTACAATAAAAACTTGGATCGTTAGTTTACAGTTTACTGACTTTACGCTCAAACAGCTGCTGTTACATTGCTGTTATTGTTGCTTTTCTTTCTTTATTATTCTGATTAAACTTCCGTTTTTTGCCCTCTGCTGTTTTGGGAAACAATCTAAAAAAACAAACATTGAACCAATATTTTATGTTGATCCAGATTTCATTAATATTTAACTTCTATTTCTGATTGGTTCGTTTCCATCAGGCTACCGAGGAGAGGAGGAGACATTTTGGTCCTTCAGGTCTAGTTAATATAAACCAAAGTGATGTAGGTAGTAAAACTCAAACAATCATTGTTATATTTTACAGCCTGAAACTTTTTAATGCTTTCAGATCAGATTAATTTGAAACGTATGTAAATTAAATTAACTGTTAATTTTATATTCATTTAATAACTTTATAATCTAAAATAATTATTTTTGATTCAGTTTTGTATTGGAATAAATGTACAGAATTTACCTTTTCTACAGTCATACCCAAATTATACCGACTGGTTCTGTTGCTGGTTCTGGTTCTGACCCAGTTCTCCTGGTTCTTCCCTCATGAACAGCGCCCTCTCCTGGTAGCCTGCAGTAACAGCAGACATTGTGCAGATCAATCTGGAAAAATGGAGGATTTTTCTTCTTCTGCATCGACTGAATAACTCTGGACTTCCTGTTCTGGTTGGTGATGAGAGCAGAACCAGAACCGATCAGTTTGATCATCATGACTTCTGCTTTCTGTTTATCTGTGAAGTCTTTCTTCCTATATTTATATATTTTGTTGCACTGATGTGAAAATAAATTATTTGCATGTTTTCTATGTTAAACCTTGAAGGAATCTGATTCCTCTGGTGACCATAGCAACGTGACATCATGGCGTCTGCAGATCCTGGTGAGTAACGATCAGAGAGACACGTGATTTTATTTATTAAAAATAAAAATGAAAAGAGACTTTGAACCGTTTCTGTAACCGTCTGATCCCCATGACTGACTGTCACTAAATGAAGCAACACCTCTAACATCAGAAACAGAAAATGTATTTAATCTTTATACACAGTAGTATGTAATCCTACACCAGAAACATTGTGAAACTTCAAATTAAAAATGGTATTTGGACGTTCCTGGTTTCTGTCTCTGAGGTTTTTTCTTGTCCAAACTGAAGAGTCTGAGCTCGACGTCCAGAGGAAACATGTCAAAGTCCTGAATGAGGCACATTGACCTCAACCTGCTCAGCTTGATCAAAGTCCATATTTCTCCAATAACAATAACCAGCAGGATGTTTTCATAAATGTGTCTCATTTAAATGAGGATCACCTGTTAATAACTCAGGTGTTTTTACCTTTTCAGGGCCAGATGTTGTGGAACCGTTGAAACGCTGCAGTAGCAACAACCTGCTGCATCCAGACAGTAAGTACGACTGAAATGAGTCCAGATAAATATTTCTAGATTAGTTTGTATAATTAGTGCATTTGAAGATGAAAAGTGGAATCGCAGATTAAATAAACACACAGTTCAGATTCATAATGTTTCAGAAATCCGTCCCATAACTCTCTCCTGTTTCCTCTGACGTCACTGAAAAGTTTCCACAAAGCTTAGAAAACTGTGACATCATCATCTTGGATTTACCAAATCGTTTAAACATACAGAAAACTTAGTTTATCTAAAGTGTCTCTAAAATAAACTTATATGTATTATTATGATATTTAGCAACTTTATTAATCCTAACTGACCTAAAACTTGAAAATATATGAATTAATGTGAGACTGAGAATGTTGGTATTTGATACAGTTTATATAAACCTTTTTATTCAAAGGAAACATGGCCGACAGATTTACAGCAACCTGAAGATGCACGAGGCGACAGTGGGAAGGAAAGAGCCTCAGTCTGGATTGTACTTAAAATATAAGAAACTAACAAATTATAAAATTAGCAATGCTGCCTCCCATTCATCTAACCAATGAGAGCACAGATCAGGGACTGATGTCACACCCAGTGCATGTCCATTCCAGTGGAAAACCAGTAGAAAACCAGTAGACCAGTGGCCACTGTCTGCTCATGCATCCAAACTGAGCTGTGTGGTTTATTATGATTTTACATATTAAATGAATAGCAGCCATATTGGATTTCAGACCTGAGTTGGTGAAGACGTTCTGAGATCTGGAGGTGTTTGGATGGATTTTTTAACTTCTAAGAAAAGCTGAAGTGATTTTAAACTTCCTGGTTTGGTTCTAAATGTTTTATTTATTCCACTCAAACTTTCTCTCATTTATTTCCAGTGTCTGAGCAGAAGGATGAGGATGGAGGTTTGACTATGGCTGTAAAACACAAACCTCTGAACCTGGTTCTGTGTGGGAGGAGAGGACCACTGAAGGCGTCAGCAGCCAAGGCCATTCTAGGTCATGAGGAACTTCCTTCACAGCGTGTCAGAAAGCAGGGAGAGGTGTTTGGACGTCAGGTTTCTCTGGTGGAGCTGCCTGCCTTGGATGGAAAAGCTCAGCAGGAAGTGATGGAGGAATCCTTCAGGTGTGTCTCCCTCTGTGACCCTGAGGGTGTCCACGCCTTCATCCTGGTCCTACCTGTGGGTCCCCTCACTGATGAAGACAAGGGAGAGTTACACACCATCCAGGACACATTCAGCTCCAGAGTCAATGACTTCACCATCATCCTCTTCACCACAGACTCAGATCCTGCAGCTCCAGCTGTTGTTAACTTTGTAAAGGAGAACAAGGACATCCAGGATCTCCTCCAGATCTGTGGAGGAAGATATTTAGTTCTGAACATCAGAGACAGACGGCAGATCAGAGGACTGATGGAGACGGTGGAGACGATTAGAGGTGAAAAGTCCAGCGTTTTCTCAACAGACCTGTTCACCAAGGTGTTGATTGAGAGGACTTTAAAAGTTGAATCAGAACTACAGGATGTGAAACAGAAGAGTGAAGATGAGCATCAGTCAACAAAACAACTCAGGAAAGAGACAGAAGAAGTAAAGAAAAGGGAAGAAGAGCTGAAGAAAAAACACAGAGAAGAAATTAAATCTCTGCAATCTCAACATGAGCAGCAGAGAAAACAACAAATTCAGCTGCTGAAAGAAAAGGATGAAATCATTGAAAAGAGAAAGAAGGAGCAGGAGGAAGAGGGGAAAAAATGGAGAAAACAGGAAGAACTGCAGCGAAAAGAGTGGAAACAAAAACTAGAAGCTTCAGAAAACCGAGTGAAAGTTGAGCGAGAGCAAAGAGAGGCGGCTGAGAAGAAGCTGGAGCAGAGCAGACGGGACTGGGCCAGAGACCGGGTCGCTTGGGACAAGGAGAAGGACGGCATCCTGGAGCGAATGCACCAGGAACTGAAGCAGAACCTGCAGGAGACCAAGCAGAACCTGGAGGAGGAGCGGGACCGGTACCGGAAGCTGCAGGAGGAATTCTACCAGAAGAGGAGGAAGTGGACCTACCTGGGCTTCACTTTGCTGCTGGCAGTGTGTCTGGTTTTATTATATCTGTATCACAGACATTAGCTGCTGGACCAGAACCGGACCAAACATCATGACCCGGCTGGAGTCTGGCTCATTTTCAACTAACACTGGTGATGATTGTAAAGTGTCATATTTACTTCCAGAGTCATAATTAATATAAATTATTTCCTTCCTGAGCTGCAGTGATGATGTGTAACGTTGGCATCACATCAAAGTATTTTAACCTCAGTGAATGACGTGGAAATATAAAAATATGTTTCAGTGAATTTGTCTGATTTTGATATTTTCATTGTCCAGCTGTGATTTGGTTCTGCAGCCGTTAGTCTGTCAGGCTGATGGTATAACTTAGTTATAACTACAGAAAACCCTTTTTTTTTTTCTAATTTCACATTGATAGTGTTTTATGAATATTAATGTTTTTACCATTTTGTCACTGAGATTTTATAACCGAGTTTCTCTCCTGTATGAAGAACTAGAGGTTTGTTTAAACTCCATTTCCCATCATTCATGTTTGTGTTTTTTAAACCAAACTCCATCTGAACGTTTCCTCCAGTGAGTTGAGGGTCAGTTTCAGGGTCAGGATGTGTCTGATGTCCAGCTGGTAGAGAAAAGTTCAGACCAGGAGTTTCTTTAGCTGTGACTATAATCATGTGTTCAGTTCAGTGAATCGGGTCTTTGAACACTTTTCCCTTGAAATGGAAACTAAGATTAATCTCTGGACAGATTCATTCTTTAATAGAAAATAGACCCTCAACCTTTAATCTGGTCCCTTTTCCAGAATGGAGTCCAGCTCAGTCCTGCTAATGAGTTTAAGTCAAACAGACCAGAATATTACCATCAGGTTTACTGCAGGCCGTTTGACAGGCTGATGAAGGAACTTCAGAAAGTCTGAGCAAAACCTGATTTTAGACAAAAGGGAAAAACAAAAAGTAGTAAACAACTTTAGATCCATGTGTAAACATTTTATTTCAGATCATGAATTTTACAATGATTTAATGCTGTGGGAAGTTTCAGTGGCTGTTTTAATGCATCCAGTCCCTACAGAGTTGATCATCCTGATGACTGAACCAGGTGGAGAATCTCTGAACGAACTGGGTCACGATGTGAAGTTACTGAAGTTTCTGTTCATGTCAGGCTGAACTGCAACAGTCGCTGGTTGATCTTGTATGGATGTTTCAGTCTGTTTACACAAGACGAACCAGACGACCTGCCGGCTGGATGCAGCAGGTGGAAAGCAGGCGGACCTCTGGGACAGGGAGGATTTAGAAACACTTTCTGTGGACGATGGCCGGACCGGACTCATCGTACTCCTGCTTGCTGATCCACATCTGCTGGAAGGTGGAGAGAGAGGCCAGGATGGAGCCGCCGATCCAGACCGAGTACTTCCTCTCTGGAGGAGCGATGATCTGTGTGATGAAACACAAGGTCAAGAAAAACATCAAGTTTGAGACGAAAGATTCATCAAGATTAAATTCTGCAGTTGCTACAGGTTAATGAGACTCATAGGAACAAGTTTCATTTCATCCTCTGTAGGCAACTTGTTTCAAAATAACTGCATTAAGTCTCTGGACGACCTTTGACCTGTAAACTCATCCAGGTGTACTGCAGCAGGTAAAACCCCTGCAGGTCAGTGAGGTCCAGCTGTCGTACCTTGATCTTCATGGTGGGCGGGGCCAGGCCGGTGATCTCCTTCTGCATGCGGTCAGCGATTCCAGGGTACATGGTGGTGCCGCCGGACAGGACGGTGTTGGCGTACAGATCCTTACGGATGTCCACGTCGCACTTCATGATGCTGTTGTAAGTGGTTTCATGAACACCAGCAGACTCCATTCCTACAGACGAGAGGCAGCGTCACTGGAGTGGCACCAGCAGGAACATAAAAACCTAACCAAGATCTGCAGAGCATTGAATCATCGAGTCATTACCGACCGAGGAACGACGGCTGGAAGAGCGCCTCTGGGCAGCGGAAACGCTCGTTGCCAATGGTGATGACTTGGCCGTCAGGAAGCTCGTAGCTTTTCTCCAGGGAAGAGGAGGAAGCTGCCGTCTGCATCTCCTGCTCAAAGTCCAGAGCCACATAGCAGAGCTTCTCCTTCATGTCGCGCACGATCTCACGCTCAGCTGGAGGTCAGGATGAAAGAGGAAGGTCATTCAGAGCCCAAGGCCCAGCCTGGGGCCGTTTCGTTCTGTACCTGTGGTGGTGAAGCTGTAGCCTCTCTCCGTCAGGATCTTCATCAGGTAATCCGTCAGATCTCTGCCAGCCAGATCCAGACGCAGGATGGCGTGAGGAAGAGCGTAGCCTTCGTAGATCGGGACAGTATGGCTGACGCCGTCACCAGAGTCCATCACGATACCTGAGAGATTAGAGTGCAACTCAGTAAACGAGTCATTTCAGCTCCGTTTGCTCCGTTTCATAAACCCAACCTGTGGTTCGACCCGAGGCGTAGAGCGACAGGACGGCCTGGATGGCCACATACATGGCAGGAGTGTTGAACGTCTCAAACATGATCTGGAACAGAAAGGGTTCGTCTCACTGCCGTTTACAGATAACGAAGCAGCAGAAAGTCTCTGAACCGGGTCAGAACCCACCTGGGTCATCTTCTCCCTGTTGGCTTTGGGGTTGAGAGGAGCTTCAGTCAGCAGGACCGGATGTTCCTCTGGAGCCACTCGGAGCTCGTTGTAGAAGGTGTGATGCCAGATCTGAAGGGTTCAGGTTGACCATAAGACGGGACAGACTTTACTAAAGATGCCAACCTTTGTTCAGTTTAAGTTATGGAAGTTAAACTCTTTGTATCAGAGCTTAAACTCAGCCATGTTTTCCTGCTACAGTCAGATGAACCCAGAGCAACAGGAGGAACTTTAAGCTCACTGTTGGAACCAACAGCCTCATGCCAACAGGTCTGTAAGGTAACCCCAGGTTAGCTCACCTTCTCCATGTCGTCCCAGTTGGTGACGATGCCGTGCTCGATGGGGTACTTCAGGGTCAGGATGCCCCTCTTGCTCTGGGCCTCGTCTCCCACGTAGCTGTCCTTCTGGCCCATTCCCACCATCACACCCTGCACACAGACTCAGTCAGACCTTTACGCCGTCAGACCTGAGGCTGATGAAGGCGGTTCGGTTCCTACCTGGTGTCTGGGCCGCCCAACGATGGAGGGAAAAACGGCCCGAGGAGCATCATCCCCAGCAAACCCGGCCTTGCACATACCAGAGCCGTTGTCAACAACGAGAGCAGAGATATCGTCCTCCATGTCTGAGGAGAAACGGCAGACTGTTTGTTTTCCCCCCACAGCTCAGATGGTTTCAGCCTGAAGGCCGTCAGGATGTGATGGGAACGGTTCACCACACCCAACTGGTTGGTTCCTCCAGTCAGAGCAGCTGAGGGAACCAGGCCGAGGGAGGGGGGAACCAGGCCGAGGGAACCAGGCCGAGGGGAGGAACCAGGCCGAGGGGAGGAACCAGGCCGAGGGGGGGGAACCAGGCAATTCAGAAGATTCACTTTATACGCCTCATTGGCATGTGAAGGTTTAATTTAATGAAGGAGGAATACAAATAAGTACATTAAAGTTTTTTTTTAAGCAGGTACAACTAAACCACCGCAATTTTTAAGTACAATAATCCTCACTGATTTTTAACTTAAAAAAAAAAATAATTCAAACATTAAAAAAAAAAAAAAAGAGTTTTTCTAGAGACATTAGCACAGCAGGGCATTTAAAGCTCACCAAGATTAGTTAAATCTGTCAGATTCTAAAATCCATAATTCAGCAGCTGAATCAGATGATCCTCTTACCTGTCCAGGTGAGTCTCAGGTGTCAGCAGGTCGGTGTGTCTGTCCGTCTGTCCCAGCTCTGTCCTCTGACTGCCGCATCCCAGCAGCTGCAGCTCCTCTTTATCTGCGCCGCCTCACTGAGGCGTTTTCCATAAAAGGTAACGTTCTCTCAGCTCGCAACCTGATTGGTCCAGGTGAGCAGATTTCTCAGCTCGCGTCCTGATTGGCTGGAGGGAGTGTCGGTCATTTCTCCCATCAGAAACAACCTGGAGGATTTCTGACTGAACTTCACCTGAGATGGAAACTTCTGATTGGCCTGAAGAACCAAAACTAAACTGGAAAAAGGGAGAAACATCAGAGAAAGACCCAGAAACAGGTGAAATAATTTTATTTTGAACTAAAACATATTTATGGGATTAAATCAGAGAACAGCAGCAGAACCAGATGTTTGGATCGGATCATTACTGAATAACTGAAACATCAAACTGCAGATGAAGAACCAGCTGGAGAATCAGAATGAAAACAGCAGAAACAGAAATAAAATGTTTCCTTGTTGAGTTCAGGAAGTTCCAACATTTAGAGAAGTTTTCTGAGGTTCTGCAGGAACCGGGTCCAGAGGACAGCAGCGGTTCTGGATCTCTGCAGGTCTCTGCATGTCGGATGACCTTCATTCATTCATCCTGAGGTAAAAACACAACGATTCACTGATTCACTTCCTCACAGTTCACTGAAACCTGACGGCAGGAATGTCTGCAGGAAACCAGGAACATTTTATTCTGATCCAAATCAGGATTCGGGTCTGAACCAAACTAAACTCCTTCATCTCTGCTGGTTTTTGTTCTGTTTATTTATCTTCAACATGGTTTTCTTGCTGCTGTAAAACTGGAAGTTTTTCTCACTGAAACCTGAAGTTTCATCAGATTCTGACCAGAACCTGCAGCTTCAGCTTCATCTGATAAATTCAACATTCAGTTAAAATAAATGAAACTTTTCTAATAACGATCTGGACCAGATGATCCAGTTTAATGTTTCTTCTCCTCTTCATGATTTCAACCCAACAGGCTCTAAATCTGCTTTAAATGGTTTTTACTGAATGAAACATGTTCATATTTATATCTATGTCAACAACAACGTCTCACTGATGGATGATGATATTTTCTTTCTGCTGATCCACTGAGTCACAGTGACCCAGATATTATAATTAGACTGATGGAGTCAGAAATGTTGAAACTTCAGTTTGTTTCTGTTGCTCAATAAAACCTGGATGATAAAATCATCAGAGATTCTGATGCAACCGGAAAAATACAGATTGATTCAGGAATACATGCTGAGAATAAATGAGATGAAAACAGTTAATATTTAATCTCAACAGGATTATTTTATAAATGATTTTTCCTCCAACTTCTCCAGATTCGGGTTTTCAGTAACAGAACAAAGTTTCTGAAACTATTTTTTACTGGTTGAACCGTTTATGGTTGGTAAGAGGAAAAGACACGAAG